AAAACCAGATTATTTAGGCTTTTAGCCTTCTGATGTCATGTCCTGTTATTTCCATGCTTTGGGAGTTCCTTTCCTTGATAATAGACATCCATTTCTTTGTTTGTATGCTCCCCGGACGAAATTGGGTGTCTACAGCTTTCATCGGACGTATCAATGATCCTTAGAGCTTTTGAGGAGGATGGTGTTGATTTTGTCTTTTGCACATTTAATGCAATAGACTTCTGTTTCCTCCCAACATCATCTTGTTGTAACTCTAACTCATGAACTTTAAGTAGTCCAATGAGTTCCTCCAGGGAGAGCTTTTCCAGATTTTTGGATGCTCTCAGAACAGTAACTTGTGGTCTCCATTTCCTGGTAAACTACGAAGTAATTTGTCAATATGATCAAAGTTATCATAAGTTCTACCTAGGAAGGAAAGTTCATTTACGATGGTTTGGAATCTTCCAAACATAGTCTGTATAAATTCGCTTTCTTCCATCTCAAAAAGTTCATACTTACGTGCCAACAAGCTTAACTTGTTGTGTTTTACCTCTAGGGACCCCTCGTAAGTTAATGCTAGGGTGTCCCACATTTGTTTGGCACTTCTAAAGCTATGAACTTTAGTTTATTCTTCTTCAGACAGAGCACACATGAGTGCATTTCGTGCTTTGGAGTTCAGCATGAATCTTTGCTTTTGCTCTTCAGTCCATTGTGCTCTGGGTTTCTCATTGCTGGCTTGATCTAGGGGAATATAGTTTCCTTGCTCAAAGACGTCTCACATGTCTATATGACATGCATCAAAGAATGCAATCATTCTTTGCTTCTAGTAGTCAAATTTTGCTCCTTTGAATAGAGGTGGTTGGTTTACGGCTTGTCCTTCATTTTCCATGATCGTTTCTCCTGCAGTGTTAGATGCTCAACCCAAGGGGTCAAGCTTTGATACCAATTGAGGTTAGCGAAAATACACATAGAAGGGGGGTTGAATGTGTGTGTTCAGATTCAAAAGAAAATTTTAGAGTTATTTTGCAAGAATACTCTTGGTTGGAAAACTTAAGCAGACTTTTCTGTCTAATGATTTTTTTTTCAGCAAAACTGATTTTCAACGTAAGAGATTAAGTAAACTAGTTTTCCATCTGGAAAACATTATCATCTAGTAAAGTAGTTTTAACAAGGTCAAGTATGTTTTCGTCCAAAGCTTTGTTGAAAAACGAAATACAACAAGAGCAAAGTAAGTAATACTGAAAAGTGAGGAGAATGCACAAACAGTTATACTGGTTCACTCAATCTGAGCTATATCCAATTTCCTTCTGTAGAAGGGTTCCACTAATCATAAAGGATTACAAGTATTCTCAGTCACTTCTGGCTCGTCAACTAGACGCTAGTATTCTTAACCACTTCTGGTTCTCCAAGTACTCTTGACCACTCCTGGCCCGTTGGCTTCACTCACCAAGGCTAGTATTCTTAACGACTTCTGGTTCACAAGTATTCTTTCTACCAGCCTCTTCCGGCTTTATAGCAGTTGTAGGTTTTGAGTGTGTGTATAACTCTCATAGAGAGAATAGGGTAATTTCTACACTCACTAAGGTGCGTAACCTTAGTTTTCCAGAGATAATTGTCTGAGTGTTTGGTTACTCTCGTAGAGAGGATGAACTATTGGCAACACTCACTAAGATAAGCTATCTTAGTTTTTACACAGATATTCAGAAAAAATTGATTCTTCTTGAGATATGTATTACACGTTTTCTTTTTGCTTCTCTGTCTTATTTCTCCTTCTTCTTGGTCTTGACACTTATATACTTTTGATAAATCTGCCCGTTGTTTGAATTTTTATTTTTCCGTTGGAGCGTAGCTTTTTGACGTTGTAGATGGAGGCTTCGATCATGTTCGTGCAGATCTTCTCATTTAATGCATTTGATCTTGCATTAAATGTTTGCTTGTATTCGTGGAGTCTCTCTGTGTAGTTGATTTCTTTGATTCCTGACTTCAATCATGATCTAGGTATATTTGTACTTTCCTCATCAATTTAGCTGCTGTGGTGTTGTCTTTTTTTGAAAAGTAGATGTTCTTTCTTTGACGCACTCAGCTTTGACTTGTGAATGCATGTTTGCCCAATACAACAAGAGCAAAGTAAGTAATACTGAAAAGTGAGGAGAATGCACAAACAGTTATACTGGTTCACTCAATCTGAGCTATATCCAATTTCCTTCTGTAGAAGGGTTCCACTAATCATAAAGGATTACAAGTATTCTTAACTCCATCTTACATAATTGCTCTGAATTAAGAGTAAAGTATATATCCAATTATGATTTCATGCCTAAGATGAGAATAAAACCTCGATCTTTGCTTAAAAAATACATATGTTGAACCATTTAGGTAATAACATGATAAAATGTGCTAATTATAGGATAAAGAGATCATTATCAACAACAATAACAACAACAATAACAACAACAACAATTAATAATAATAATAATGTTGTTAGAAAAAGAAAGGTCACAAGTAAATGTCTATAGATTACTCAAATTAATAATATTTAGCTGCTTATGATAAATTAATATTATTTAATAGGTAATTAAAAAAATATTGATTTTTAAAATATCATTAATAAGTAAAAATAATATTTTGATGTATAAAAATGAAAATATAAAATAAAATAAAAGTTACAAGTTCAAGTAGTATTTGAAGGGAATACAAAAGGTAAATATTCAAGTGCGTTAATCGAATACCTATATTTTAATTAGATATATAAAATATTTAAATAAATTATAAGTTAAGTACAAGATATAGTTAAATATACACTTAATCGCATTGAAGATTTATATTTATTGTTTAAAATGACGTAAATTATGACATAGTTGAAAACTTATTTATTATATATATAACTTCTTTTTTCTTTTGTATATTGATATGATTTACATAATGAACTAAAACTTTTGATGAAAGAGTAACCTATTTATATATTGATGTGATTTATAGAATGTACTAAAACTTTTGATTAAAGACTTTCAGCTATCAACCTTTATAATTTAAAATATAACATGTTTAAAATATAGTTTAAAAGTTTCATTCGAAAGGCACACTCATTATAATTCTAGTGGATTTCAAACTGCAACCAACCTTATAATTAAGTTATTAGTTCTGGTAGTGGTAAAAATGCTACGATTGACCCAAATCGCTATAGTTTTCTATGGTGAAATAATCAAAATTGATTAAAAATTTAAAATCAAACTAATAAAAATATAAATGATAAAATTTAGATAATAAAAATAGAGACTTTAAAAATAAAGGCGAAAAACATAATTTGGCTTCTTTTTCTGTTCTCTTTTTATATTGGATGATTTGACATGTTATAAGAATTGTATACTTCTGCACACTCTATTATATCGGATGAAATTTATTTAAATCTATATATACTGGATAAGTTGTTTATTTTCATAATAAATATTTTACGAAGTTATATCTAAAATAATTTCTTATTACAAGTATAAAATATTTACACTAATAGTGCATGAAAATTAAAGTCTAAATGTCAAAAAAAAAATATATATTAGAGTGAATTACTCGCAGTGATTTTCTTGAAGAAAAAAAAAACTTGCTCATATCATTACTTATTTTGAAAAATGAGGTGTGGAAGATAGGAATAGAAATAAACTATATAAGGCTTAGAGAATTTAAGCTTGACTTTAATAAAATTATTAAGCTTGAGTTATTATTTATCTATTACATACCTTTTTTAATGTTTATCTTGACTTGTTTAAAAGTATGGTTTAATCTGAAAATTTGTTTGTGTTTTATACAAGACTTATAAATAAATTAATAAGCTATTAAATATAATTTTATTAATAATTATATATAATGAATAAAAATATTAATTATAAAGTAATATATAATATGTAATATTAACAATAGGTCTAAAACTTAGTCATTTAAGTTAAAATGACTTTTTGAAAAGTCTAAACCTAATTCTTTTTTAATAAACATGTTAAGTCTTAAATAGGTTAGGTTGCAAACTCTTAACAAGTTGTCTAATCCATTTCCATCCATAGTGGATAACCACTTGGTATGTAGACAATTTGAGATGTAGTGTCTACGTCTAAATAGAAAAAAAAAAGTAGAAAATAAGAAATTATATATGTAATTATCCATAAAAATGGATTGACATTCCTATGTTATTTGATGTATCCAAAGAGAGAAGTGTTTGTTATATGTTGATAGAAAGATAGAGAGAAAAAAAAAGTATTTGTGATAAATGGGTGCACATATATCATTACTCATTTAGAATAATGATATTTGGACATCCAAATATTTAAAACACTTGAATGACACCCATAATCTTTTTCATTTTTCTTTTTGTAGACATATTATACCTACTAATCTATTCCAAAAAGTCATTTTCATTCCTAAATTTTTTCTAAGAGAAATATTATTATTGAAAAATTTTGATGCACTCATCACTCAACTCTTAACATTTATTTTTGACATAAATACATTGTTGTCTGTAAATCTATTTTCTATCCCCTCAAATTAAAAATTAGATTTTTTAATCTTTGTAATTTTTAAAAAAATTCTTTTAATTTTTTAGGTCATCAATAACATATTTTTGTTATTTAAAAATGATAAATTGAGATATTGAAGTATTTATACAATATCAAATGAATTTTTATTAACAAAAATATTAATAAATAAATTTTATTAAAATTATTTGACAAATTCATTAACGAAATTTGAACATAAAAACTAAAATAAATTTTTTCAAAATTATACTACTAAAAAGATCTATTTTAAATATGAGAAATTAAAAATAAATTTACTTTGAAAAATTAAAAATATATTTAATCCATTATTTTTTTTTGCTAAATTCTTTATATTTATTGAGTACTACAATAACTCCCATTGGGATCTTTAACACCCATTACCCATATGCGAGCAACACCTCATTTGTGATTTCCATAAAACATTTATTTGTTACATAAAATAAAAAGGTGGCTGTATATAGATGAAGTTACTCTTCCATGTGGATCCAAAATTAAGTGAAAGGGAGTGAAGGTGGTACTTTGAGAAGGCGAAGCCACTCTCAGACTTTGTGGCCTTGTCAGGCTTCACTCTAAGATGGATCAGACCCAATTGTCCATAGATGAGTCCCCACTCTCCCTCTGTTTATAGGACCCACCACACCCCTCTCCCTTCCTTCTCCCTCCACTCTCTCACACACCTTCATACACCCCTCCCTCTCTTGTCTCTTCCCTTCCCCTAACACACCCTTTTCTCTATATACACTCTTTCACACACTCCTCTTTCTCTCGTTCCAATGGACAAAACAACAATAACAACAACAACAGAGAGAGAAACCCACGACTTCATGAACGTCGACTCCTTCTCCCAGCTCCCATTCATCCGCCCGGCCCCTCCAGTCAAGGAGAAGCCGGGCATTCGTCTCTTCGGCATCGAATTCGCCGGCGGAAACGGCGACTCTGACTCAGTCGTCGTCTCCGCGGACGAGTCCGAGTCGGGTGAGACGACTACCAACAATAATAATAATAACAACAACAACCTTACCTCGTTCGACTCGAACAAGGACGATGTTGTTGTGACCACCACTACCACTGTTGTCGACGCCAGCGGCGAGAGCAGCCGGCGCTTCGAGTGCCACTACTGCTGCCGAAACTTCCCCACCTCGCAAGCCCTCGGCGGCCACCAAAACGCGCACAAACGCGAACGGCAACACGCGAAACGCGCGCACCTTCAGTCGACGATGGTGCACGGTAGCACCTACTCCGACGCGCACCATGTCTACAACCTCATGAACTACCGCTTCGGTTCCGCTCCAACGACAGCAATGCCTTATCCAACGTGGAGCAACGGCAGCAGCACCACCACCGCCGCCACCAACGCGACGAGGTTCTATGGAACGACGGCGTTTTCGCACCACCAAAACCAACAGCAACAACCGATTAATGGAAGCCCTTTAGCGTTTTGGCGAATCCCTGGTAACAACCCTAGTTTCAGCCACGAACGGTCGTTGCCGCCTTTGTTCGCGAGCGAGGAAATGACGAACGTGAGAGCCTCGCAGGTTGTCGGAGCCTCGGGCTCGCAAAACCGCTACGTGTATGACTCCAAACGCGCGAGTGTCCACGACCATGTGAGTTTGGATCTTCATCTGTAGTAGAAACAAACATGTTTCAATAGTTTTCGTACATAGTAAGTATCATGAGCCAGTAATAACCTATTATGATGATGGCACTGCGAGAATCGAGGGATTTGGCAGCGACTCTTTTTAGAGCGGCTTTGGGGCAAAAAGGATCCATAAAATATGAGAAATTTCTTCCCAGAGGGAGAAATTGTTTCCATTTCTAATTCTTTCTTCTTTTTGTTTTACATTAACAGTTGAATTTTAGATCATAAATATGCTATATGTGGTTTAGTTATCACAATCTTTTTAATTAAATGAAACGACTTTTATTTAAATTAATGATATGATTATCTCATCTCATTTTTCTGCCAACCGTAATGTGAGTTTAAAGGTTTGCTAGTTAGTTTCTTGATTTTGAAATTAGCACTACATAATTGACAGAACATGAGTTTTGTTATGATTTAAGGTCATGGTTCGTTGAAAGTGAACTACGGATATGTAGTATAAGTATAGTCACGTCGTCGTTTCATGGTCTGGACTGGGAGAACTGTTTCACACGTGTGGGGATCATGTAAAGGGTAAGAGACAGTTGTTTGCGCATGAACAATTTGTCCAGACACACGTGTGTCGAAATCCATCATATTGTCCAGGCAGGTGGGGTGATGAGAGAGGTGGGTTCTGATTCAATGCAATGTAATTGTGAAAAGTCATGATGATAAGGTTTGATGGGTCTGCTCAAGTTTTTGCAGAAAGAAAGTGATATTTCCATGCCATTAGCAGGCTCCATTGCTCCCAAAATTAATTAATTTCAAAATTACATGTGTGGAGGCTGCTTTTGTTTTTCACTCACTTATTTACACCAGTTCAAAGTGTGGAGAGAGAGAATTAATTATTTAATGACAAGTATATGAATGAACATCATAGATATCTTTCTATATATATGTGCTTATATGGATATTTGTGCCTATATGGATCGGCTTAATATTATGTCTTTTTGCATGTCTAAGATGCATGGCTGAACCTAGCTCCTTCATTCTATGAGACCTACCTAGGGCTTAAGAGACAAAGTGACCAATATCAAGAGTAGTAAAAACGCACACGCACTAAGCCTATCTTATTCTTGTGTTCTCCCTAAGAGTCAATAAATGGGAGAAGGAACATCATCTTTAAGAGCATGTGCAATTGTGCATGTTGGTTCTGCAAGAACATGTTGGAGCTTTTTCTGTGTTGTTCATTGTGGTATGGCTAGGTTGACCCCAGATGACTCAACTGGGTGTAGATATTGAACAAAAAGTGGTCCTCATGGTTTGGAAAAATTTATAATATTGTTCCGGAGGATCTAGAGGAGGAATTAGAGTTGATGCATGTGTAATGAGTATTGGGTAATGATTCAAAATTGAAGTGACAAGAGTCAATAATTACTAGGTTGATGAGTAGTGTTGACCCACAAGTAGGAACGCATGGGTCACTTCTTTATGCCCTTGTTTCCAAAACACAAATCTCATCATTCAAAGGAAGTGGTACCAAGGGCTTTCATATGGGTTTAAAATGGCAAAACCAACCCTCAGAAAAGGATGTGTCCTCCTTTTCTTCTCAGGACTTTAAGGAACATATGAACATGGTAGTTAGACTGCCATCTTTATTTTTCCATCTTCTGTACCCATTGCTTTTATGTCTGATATACATAGAAAGAAAGAGAGAGAAAGAGATGGTAGGTGGGTTAGTTTTCGTGTGGTGAGTAGAAATATATAGGACTTGTAGATTCCTTCTCTAGGGAGAGA